ATCGATAAATAATTTACCAGGAGCATATACGGTCAAGTATAATAATACTTATTATTTCGTATTTTATTAAAAGCTTACTTATTTATGAATTTATTTCTACTCGACACGTAATGTACACGACATTACAAAAATACATTATTTTTAATTTCTTTTTTATTACGTAAACTTTATTTATTATTTATGAGTAATTGAGTAATGAGTTACGACTTTCTTGTTTATCGCTAAACATTGCGTAATATATAATTATAATTTATATTTTTTCTGATTGTTTACAATTAATATAGGTATACCAGATACCTACCTATTTAATAGATTATTATAAGAAAATATCAGACAGATGATACGGCTGTTGTAGACTTGTAGATAGTACTATAGGTATCAACAGCTGTGATCACAGATATATAGAAGACGTCCTTATCAAGTCAAATCAATTGACATTAATATTGCTCAGCTGACAATATTTACTATACTCTGTCCAGCGAGAGAACGTGCTGATCCTWCCCCATATCAAACTGCTATCGAAACTGGTTCCCCTATCCCCCTATGACTGATTGTCGCGTGGAGATGCGTAGAAAAAGCATAATTTGGTCAGCACGATCACTCGCTGGACAGAGTATAATAACACGGAATAGATGAAATTCTAATTAAATTGCATCTATTCTGTGAATAATGTATATATACCTACCTATTAGTGATTAGTCCTTAATGTTAAAGAAATAAAATACAGATTAAAACTATTACTATTACAATTTATTTAAAAATCMCGATGAAAAAAAATTACACAATAATATTATATTATACTTTTTTGTTAGGAGCCCGTATCCCGATGCTCAAATATAGAGTAAATTGTGTTGTCACAAATTATATTATCATCAGATTATTTAATACCATAATATAATGTGTGTGAGTTCCGACAGTGCGGTCGATTGTTGTTATTATTATTATTCGATTACAATTTAAATATTTATATTTACTTTTAAATAGGTTATTATTTTCATTATGCTTTATAAAATAAACATACTATTATATTATACTAAATTATTATATTATTGATAATATCATTGATTAATGATTATAAATACTATAATATTATATTATTTATAATCAATGATAATATGTTTAAAATTTGTCATCTTCAATTTGGCCTTTTTTGGGGCCCCCCTCCATAAATACGCCACTGGGTGTAACACAAAAATCGCCTGTTCCGTGTTGTTAACATGCCGATTGTYGTCCGACTTCAGTAAATATTACAAATATGTACTTACAAAATAGCATAGAATAATATTATGTTGGTATAAAGGCCATTTTGTTCGATAAAATATGAGTACAACTTCCAAAGTACCATATTAGTACAATAGTACCTATAAATTATCAACTAGGTATGTTCTATTAAATTACAAGCTATACACAAACAACAAAATATAGACTACTAGCACAGGCTTTTAAAAAATGCGATTTAATTTATGCTGTATTTTGACACCTCATCCCATTTTTATTCGAAAACTATAATAACTAATGGACATAATAATTCACTTTAAATTCAAATCAAACAATTACAAAAAAAAAAAATTATAAAAAACAATACTAACCTAAAATAGTCCGTCAGCCCATTTTTGTAATTATAATACAATAATGCATATTATATTACGATATGAATTATTTTTGTAATTTATTTGGCTATTTATAATAATTCAATATAAACTATAAATAGGTAACAGCATACAATTAATTTCAATGATTTGAAATTTTGAAAAATGTTATCAACTTTCGAATTKCCAAGAAAAATACTTTAGAATTACTACTAAATAATTAAAATCGTTATTCTTCGTTAGAATAATAACTTGGCTGGAGGATTCAGTCTTAAAATGTATATAGCCTGCAGGCTGCAAGTACTAAGTATTATGYAATAAATAATGTATAGACCCTATTGTATTATAAGTTTGTTTCCAGCCAAGAAAACTAAATTTGGATTAATTATGATTAAAATAATTCACATACCTAATAAATAATATAAATTACCAATTTTTATTAAATTTGGATTAATCATTTATGCATACATTTTACACATTAGACCATTTACTTAGATTCCATCTTATATCATACATTTTATAACATTTATCTTTTTTTCACTTAGCGTTTTTTATACGGAGTTGACGGTGTGTTTTTGTTAGGATATTGTTAGTTTTTCATAAATTATCATACTTAATATACTGTATTAATACGTCTGGGGTAAGTAATTGATAATTGTTTACCATCTGCGCCCAACGACAGATTAAATTAAATTATTATTTTTTTTTTACATGAAGTTCACTTCTTGACTTAGTGTATTTGTTGAAATATTATTAGTTTAAAAAAATTATATTTAGATAAAGACTAGATAATTTTATGTTAATAATTTATATAAAAAGTGGCTAGCCTAACCTAACCTAACCTAAGTYGTGGATGTACCTCTGTCATATACGTCCGCAGAAATTTTTCTAGGGGGGAGGGCAATGTTAGGATTTGAGGATAAATATTATAATTTTACTAGGTGTTTTAAAATAATAACCTTTTTTATTATACTCGTATACAATATATTATATTTTATTACATTACAAATTATTTTATACTTTAAATTTGTTGTATAGTATATAGTAATTTATCTTAAAACATTCAATTAAAGAAAATATTTTTAAAAAGCCAAGGGGGCAAATGCCCCAACTTGCCACCCCTGCGGGCGCCTATGACCTCTGCTGTATAGTAGGTTACAAGTGAGTTATTGTAATTGATGGAATTAAATTTGAATCCAAATAATTAAAAATATAATTTGCGAATATTCGTGATTTTTACGTAGTATGTTGTCAAAATTTAAATTTAAATACTTATAAAAAAAAATCGTGACTATGTATTTTTAATATTTTTCAACTGCTAATGTTA